CACCACCACCACCACCACCACGTCCACCACTCACCGCCAGCAAGGCTTTCTCGTGCACGTCAGGGTTGATGGACGGCAGGAGATGGATGCAGGTCTCGTCCACCAGCCGACGGACACTCATCACCACCTCCACCACCACCACCTCCACCACATCCATCTCAACCACCACCACCATCTCAACTTCCACCACCACCACATCCATCTCAACCTCCACCACCACCACATCCATCTCAACCACCACCACCATCTCAACTTCCACCACCACCTCCACCACCACCACATCCATCTCAACCTCCACCACCACCACATCCATCTCAACCTCCACCACCACCACCACATCCATCTCAACCTCCACCACCACCACCACATCCATCTCAACCTCCACCACCACAACCATCTCAACCTCCTCCACCACCACCACATCCATCTCAACCTCCACCACCACCACCACATCCATCTCAACCTCCACCACCACAACCATCTCAACCTCCTCCACCACCACCACAACCATCTCAACCTCCACCACCACCACCACATCCATCTCAACCTCCACCACCACAACCATCTCAACCTCCTCCACCACCACCACATCCATCTCAACCTCCACCACCACCACCACCACATCCATCTCAACCTCCACCACCACCACATCCACCACCACCACCACCACATCCATCTCAACCTCCACCACCACATCCATCTCAACCTCCACCACCACCACCACATCCATCTCAATCTCCACCACCACCACATCCATCTCAACCTCCACCACCACCACATCCATCTCAACCTCCTCCACCACCACCACATCCATCTCAACCTCCACCACCACCACATCCATCTCAACCTCCACCACCACCACAACCTCCTCTATCTCCACCACCTCCACCACCACCTTCATCTCAACTTCCACCACCACCACCACATCCATCTCAACTTCCACCACCACCACCACATCCATCTCCACCACCACCACCTCTACCACAACCATCTCAACCTCCACCACCACCTCCACCACCTCCACCACCACCACCACCACCTCAACTTCCACCACCACATCCATCTCAACCACCACCATCTCAACTTCCACCACCACCACCACCTCCACCACCACCACCTCAACCTCCACCACCACCACCACGTCCACCACTCACCGCCTGCAAGGCTTTCTCGTGCCCGTCAGGGTTGATGGACGGCAGGAGATGGATGCGGGTCTCGTCCACCAGCCGACGGACACTCATCACCACGTCCACCACCACCACCACCACCTCAACTTCCACCTCCACCTCAACTTCCACCTCCACCACCACATCCATCTCAACCACCACCACCATCTCAACTTCCACCACCACCACATCCATCTCAACCTCCACCACCACCACATCCATCTCAACCTCCACCACCACCACATCCATCTCAATCTCCACCACCACCACATCCATCTCAACCACCACCACCACCACATCCATCTCCACCACCACCACCTCTACCACAACCATCTCAACCTCCACCACCACCTCCACCACCTCCACCACCACCACCACCACCTCAACTTCCACCACCACATCCATCTCAACCACCACCATCTCAACTTCCACCACCACCACCACCTCCACCACCACCACCTCAACCTCCACCACCACCACCACGTCCACCACTCACCGCCTGCAAGGCTTTCTCGTGCCCGTCAGGGTTGATGGACGGCAGGAGATGGATGCGGGTCTCGTCCACCAGCCGACGGACACTCATCACCACGTCCACCACCACCACCACCACCTCAACTTCCACCTCCACCTCAACTTCCACCTCCACCACCACATCCATCTCAACCACCACCACCATCTCAACTTCCACCACCACCACATCCATCTCAACCTCCACCACCACCACATCCATCTCAACCTCCACCACCACCACATCCATCTCAATCTCCACCACCACCACATCCATCTCAACCACCACCACCATCTCAACCTCCACCACCACCACCTTCATCTCAACTTCCACCACCACCACATCCATCTCAACCTCCACCACCACCACATCCATCTCAACCTCCACCACCACCACCACCACCACCTCCACCTCCACCACCACCACCACCTCCACCACCACCACCTCAACTTCCACCTCCACCACCACATCCATCTCAACCACCACCATCTCAACTTCCACCACCACCACATCCATCTCAACCACCACCACCACATCCATCTCAACCACCACCACCACATCCATCTCCACCACCACCATCACCACCACCACCACCACCACAACCTCCTCTATCACCACCACCTCCACCACCTTCATCTCAACTTCCACCACCACCACCACCACCACATCCATCTCAACTTCCACCACCACCACATCCATCTCCACCACCATCACCTCTACCACAACCATCTCAACCTCCACCACCACCACGTCCACCACTCACTGCCAGCAAGGCTTTCTCGTGCCCGTCAGGGTTGATGGACGGCAGGAGATGGATGCGGGTCTCGTCCACCAGCCGACGGACACTCATCACCACGTCCACCACCACCACCTCCACCACATCCATCTCAACCTCCACCACCACCACCACCACCACCACATCCATCTCAACCTCCACCACCACCACATCCATCTCAACCTCCACCACCACCACCACATCCATCTCAACCTCCACCACCACCACCACCACCACGTCCACCACCACCACCACCACCACCACATCCATCTCAACCTCCACCACCACCACCACATCCATCTCAACCTCCACCACCACCACCACCACCACATCCATCTCAACCTCCACCACCACCACCACCACCACGTCCACCACCACCACCACCACCACCACATCCATCTCAACCTCCACCACCACCACCACGTCCACCACTCACCGCCTGCAAGGCTTTCTCGTGCCCGTCAGGGTTGATGGACGGCAGGAGATGGATGCAGGTCTCGTCCACCAGCCGACGGACACTCATCACCACGTCCACCACCACCACCTCCACCACATCCATCTCAACCTCCACCACCACCACCACCACCACATCCATCTCAACCTCCACCACCACCACATCCATCTCAACCTCCACCACCACCACCACCACCACATCCATCTCAACCTCCACCACCACAACCATCTCAACCTCCTCCACCACCACCACATCCATCTCAACCTCCACCACCACCACCACCACCACCACATCCATCTCAACCTCCACCACCACCACCACGTCCACCACTCACCGCCTGCAAGGCTTTCTCGTGCCCGTCAGGGTTGATGGACGGCAGGAGATGGATGCGGGTCTCGTCCACCAGCCGACGGACACTCATCACCACCTCCACCACCACCACCTCCACCACCACCACCACCTCAACTTCCACCACCACCACCACCTCCACCACATCCATCTCAACCTCCACCACCACCACATCCACCACCACCACCACCACATCCATCTCAACCTCCACCACCACATCCATCTCAACCACCACCACCACCACATCCATCTCAACCTCCACCACCACCACCACCACCACGTCCACCACTCACCGCCAGCAAGGCTTTCTCGTGCCCGTCAGGGTTGATGGACGGCAGGAGATGGATGCGGGTCTCGTCCACCAGCCGACGGACACTCATCACCACCTCCACCACCACCACCACCACCTCAACTTCCACCACCACCACAACCATCTCAACCTCCTCCACCACCACCACATCCATCTCAACCTCCACCACCACCACCACGTCCACCACTCACCGCCTGCAAGGCTTTCTCGTGCCCGTCAGGGTTGATGGACGGCAGGAGATGGATGCGGGTCTCGTCCACCAGCCGACGGACACTCATCACCACCTCCACCACCACCACCACCACCTCAACTTCCACCACCACCACAACCATCTCAACCTCCTCCACCACCACCACATCCATCTCAACCTCCACCACCACCACCACCACCACCACGTCCACCACTCACCGCCTGCAAGGCTTTCTCGTGCCCGTCAGGGTTGATGGACGGCAGGAGATGGATGCGGGTCTCGTCCACCAGCCGACGGACACTCATCACCACGTCCACCACCACCACCACATCCATCTCAACCTCCACCACCACCACATCCATCTCAACCTCCACCACCACCACCACATCCATCTCAACCTCCACCACCACCACCACGTCCACCACTCACCGCCTGCAAGGCTTTCTCGTGCCCGTCAGGGTTGATGGACGGCAGGAGATGGATGCGGGTCTCGTCCACCAGCCGACGGACACTCATCACCACCTCCACCACCACCACCTCAACTTCCACCACCACCACAACCATCTCAACCTCCTCCACCACCACCACATCCATCTCAACCTCCACCACCACCACCACCACCACGTCCACCACTCACCGCCTGCAAGGCTTTCTCGTGCCCGTCAGGGTTGATGGACGGCAGGAGATGGATGCGGGTCTCGTCCACCAGCCGACGGACACTCATCACCACGTCCACCACCACCACCACATCCATCTCAACCTCCACCACCACCACAACCATCTCAACCTCCTCCACCACCACCACATCCATCTCAACCTCCACCACCACCACCACCACGTCCACCACTCACCGCCTGCAAGGCTTTCTCGTGCCCGTCAGGGTTGATGGACGGCAGGAGATGGATGCGGGTCTCGTCCACCAGCCGACGGACACTCATCACCACGTCCACCACCACCACCACCACCTCAACTTCCACCACCACCACAACCATCTCAACCTCCTCCACCACCACCACCACCACGTCCACCACTCACCGCCTGCAAGGCTTTCTCGTGCCCGTCAGGGTTGATGGACGGCAGGAGATGGATGCGGGTCTCGTCCACCAGCCGACGGACACTCATCACCACCTCCACCACCACCACCACCACCTCAACTTCCACCACCACCACAACCATCTCAACCTCCTCCACCACCACCACATCCATCTCAACCTCCACCACCACCACCACCACCACGTCCACCACTCACCGCCTGCAAGGCTTTCTCGTGCCCGTCAGGGTTGATGGACGGCAGGAGATGGATGCGGGTCTCGTCCACCAGCCGACGGACTCGTGCATTGCCCTGGACGTACTCACGGCAGAGGAACTGCATGAGGAGCAGCAGCAGCTCCTGGCCCAGCGCCTCGTTGCCGTGAAGGCCGGCCACGTAGCGGAACTCCGGCTCACCTGCGGTGGTGGTGGTGGTGGTGGTAGAGGTGGTGGTGGAGGAAGTTGTGGTGGTGGAGGTGGTGGCGGTGGTGGTGGTGGTGGTGGTGGTGGTGGTGGTAGTGGTGGTGGAGGTGGTGGTGGTGGTGGAGGTGGTGGTGGTGGTAGTGGTGGTGGGGGTGGTGGTGGTGGTGGTGGTGGTGGGGGTGGTGGTGGTGGTAGAGGTGGTGGTGGGGGTGGTGGTGATGGCGGTGGGGGTGGTGGAGGTGATGGAGATGGAGGAAGTTGTGGTGGTGGTGGTGTTGGAGGTGGTGGAGGTGGTGGTGGTAGTGGTGGTGGAGGTGGTAGTGGTGGTGGTAGTGGTGGTGGAGGTGGTAGTGGTGGAGGTGGTAGAGGTGGTGGTGGTGAAGGTGGAGGTAGTGGTGGAGGTGGCGGTGGAGGAGGCAAAGTTAAAGGTCACCTAGGTAGTCTCTGACAGGCCACAAACACATGTACAGCTAAACACACACACGTACAGCTACACACACACATGTACAGCTACACACACACACATGCACAGCTACACACACACATGTACATCTACACACACACACGTACAGCTACACACACACACATGTACAGCTACACACACACATGCACAGCTACACACACACACACATGTACTGCTACACACACACATGTACATCTACACACACACATGTACTGCTACACACACACATGTACAGCTACACACACACACACACATGTACTGCTACACACACACATGTACATCTACACACACACACACATGTACATCTACACACACACATGTACTGCTACACACACACATGTACAGCTACACACACACACACACATGTACTGCTACACACACACATGTACATCTACACACACACATGTACATCTACACACACACACATGTACATCTACACACACACATGTACATCTACACACATGTACATCTACACACACACATGTACATCTACACACACACACACATGTACATCTACACACACACACACACATGTACATCTACAGACACACATGTACAGCTACACACACACACGTACAGCTACACACACACACATGTACTGCTACACACACACACGCACAGCTACACACACACACACACATGTACAGCTACACACACACACATGTAACGTCATCGGTCATTCACTCACTCACTCACCAACTCACTCACTCATCAACCCACTCACTCACCCACCCACTCACTCACCCACCCACTCACCCACTCACTCACCTACTCACCCACTCACTCACCCACCCACTCACCCACGCACTCACCTACTCACCTACTCACTCACCCACTCACCCACTCACTCACCTACTCACTCACCCACTCACTTACTCACCCACCCACTCACTCACTCACCCACTCATTCACCCACCCACTCACTCACACACTCACTCACTCACCCACTCATGCACCCACTCACCTACTCACTCACCCACTCACTCACCCCCTCACTCACTCACCCACTCACTCACCCACTCACCCACTCACTCACCCACTCACTCACTCACCAACTCATACACTCACTTACCCACTCACCCACTCACTCACCTACTCACCTACTCAATCACTCACCCACTCATTCACCCACTCACCTACTCACTCACCCACTCACCCACTCACTCACCAACTCCCTCACCCACTCACTCACCCACTCACTCACTCACCCACTCATTCACCCACCCACTCACCCACCCACTCACCCACTCACTCACCTACTCACTCACCCACTCACTCACTCACCCACTCACTCACCCACTCACTCACCCACTCACTCACCCACCCACCCACTCACTCACTCACTCACCCGCTCACTCACCCACTCACCCACTCACCCACTCACTCACCCACCCACTCACTCACTCACCCACTCACTCACCCACTCACCCACTCACCCACTCACCCACTCACTCACCCACTAACTCACCCACTCATTCACTCACTCACCCACTTACTTACTCACTCACTCATCCACTCACCCACTCGCTCACCCACTCACCCACCCACTCACTCACTCACCCACTCACTCACTCACCCACTCATTCACCCACCCACTCACCCACTCACCCACTCACTCACTCACCCACTCACTCACTCACCCACTCACTTACTCACTCACTCACCCACTAACCCACTCGCTCACCCACTCACCCACTCACCCACCCACTCACTCACTCACCCACTCACTCACTCACCGACTCATTCACCCACCCACTCACCCACTCACCCACTCACTCACTCACTCACCCACTCACTCACCCACTCACTCACCCACCCACTCACTCACCCACTCACTCACTCACCCACTTACCCACTCACCCACCCACACACTCACCCACTCACCCACCCACTCACCCACTCACCCACCCACTCACTCATTCATCCACTCACTCACCCACTCACCCACTCACACACCCACCCACTCACCCACTCACCCACCCACTCACCCACCCACTCACCCACTCACCCACTCACCCACCCACTCACTCACCCACTCACTCACTCACTCACCCACCCATTCACTCACCCACTCACCCACTCACTCACACACTCACTCACTCACCCACTCACTAACCCACTCACCAATCCACTCACTCACCCACCCACTCACCCACCCACTCACCCACCCACTCACCCACTCACTCACCCACTCACCCACCCACTCACTCACCCACCCACTCACCCACTCACTCACCCACTCACCCACCCACTCACCCACTCACTCACCCACTCACCCACCCACTCACCCACCCACTCACTCACTCACTCACCCGCCCACTCACCCACTCACCCACTCACCCACTCACTCACCCACTCACCCACTCACCCACCCACCCACTCACTCACCCACTCACCCACTCACCCACTCACTCACCCATTCACTCACCCACTAACTCACCCACTCATTCACTCACTCACCCACTTACTTACTCACTCACTCACCCACTCACCCACTCGCTCACCCACTCACCCACCCACTCACTCACTCACCCACTCACTCACTCACCCACTCACTCACCCACCCACTCACCCACTCACCCACTCACTCACTCACCCACTCACTCACTCACCCACTCACTCACCCACCCACTCACTCACTCACCCACTCACTCACTCACCCACTCACTTACTCACTCACTCACCCACTCACCCACTCGCTCACCCACTCACCCACTCACCCACCCACTCACTCACTTACCCACTCACTCACTCACCGACTCATTCACCCACCCACTCACCCACTCACCCACTCACCCACTCACTCACTCACCCACTCACTCACCCACCCACTCACTCACCCACTCACTCACTCACCCACTCACCCACCCACACACTCACCCACTCACCCACCCACTCACCCACTCACCCACCCACTCACTCACTCATCCACTCACTCACTCACTCACCCACTCACTCACCCACCCACCCACTCACTCACTCACTCACCCGCTCACTCACCCACTCACCCACTCACCCACTCACTCACCCACCCACTCACTCACTCACCCACTCACTCACCCACTCACCCACTCACCCACTCACCCACTCACTCACCCACTAACTCACCCACTCATTCACTCACTCACCCACTTACTTACTCACTCACTCATCCACTCACCCACTCGCTCACCCACTCACCCACCCACTCACTCACTCACCCACTCACTCACTCACCCACTCATTCACCCACCCACTCACCCACTCACCCACTCACTCACTCACCCACTCACTCACTCACCCACTCACTTACTCACTCACTCACCCACTAACCCACTCGCTCACCCACTCACCCACTCACCCACCCACTCACTCACTCACCCACTCACTCACTCACCGACTCATTCACCCACCCACTCACCCACTCACCCACTCACTCACTCACTCACCCACTCACTCACCCACTCACTCACCCACCCACTCACTCACCCACTCACTCACTCACCCACTTACCCACTCACCCACCCACACACTCACCCACTCACCCACCCACTCACCCACTCACCCACCCACTCACTCACTCATCCACTCACCCACTCGCTCACCCACTCACCCACCCACTCACTCACTCACCCACTCACTCACTCACCCACTCATTCACCCACCCACTCACCCACTCACCCACTCACTCACTCACCCACTCACTCACTCACCCACTCACTTACTCACTCACTCACCCACTAACCCACTCGCTCACCCACTCACCCACTCACCCACCCACTCACTCACTCACCCACTCACTCACTCACCGACTCATTCACCCACCCACTCACCCACTCACCCACTCACTCACTCACTCACCCACTCACTCACCCACTCACCCACTCACCCACTCACTCACCCACTCACTCACTCACCCACTTACCCACTCACCCACCCACACACTCACCCACTCACCCACCCACTCACCCACTCACCCACCCACTCACTCATTCATCCACTCACTCACTCACCCACTCACCCACTCACACACCCACCCACTCACCCACTCACCCACCCACTCACCCACCCACTCACCCACTCACCCACCCACTCACTCACCCACTCACTCACTCACTCACTCACCCACCCATTCACTCACCCACTCACCCACTCACTCACACACTCACTCACTCACCCACTCACTAACCCACTCACCAATCCACTCACTCACCCACCCACTCACCCACCCACTCACCCACCCACTCACCCACTCACCCACCCACTCACTCACCCACCCACTCACCCACTCACTCACCCACTCACCCACCCACACACCCACTCACTCACCCACTCACCCACCCACTCACCCACCCACTCACTCACTCACTCACCCGCCCACTCACCCACTCACCCACTCACCCACTCACTCACCCACTCACCCACTCACCCACCCACCCACTCACTCACTCACTCACCCACTCACCCACTCACCCACTCACTCACCCATTCACTCACCCACTAACTCACCCACTCATTCACTCACTCACCCACTTACTTACTCACTCACTCACCCACTCACCC